GCCTCCTGGGAACGGAGCTTTGTCTTGCATCTGCTTTGCAGGAGGGCTATGTGGCGCGATCCTCGGACATCGACTTGGCCTACATCTATGGCTATGGCTTCCCACCGGCCAAGGCAAGGAATGCGTCATGAGCGGCATGAAGCGCGTACGCAGCAATCATGCGCTCTTAGATGCTCTTAGCAACATGCTAAAGCATCAAAACATGGTTACGGCACCCGTACAGGCCCGTATGTCTAAGCACATTCCTGTGTATGAGATCTGAGGTCAATGCGCGCGAAACTATGGAAAAATGCTCATCTGCACGACAGGGGTTGTAATTTCAGGGAGCAAAAACATCGTAAGGTACCCCTCCGACGTTGATTTTGAGCATTTTGCCATGGTTTCGAGCGCATTTCGCAGCCTGGGGCCTACGGCGAAAACGGCGTTTTCGTCCACCCAGCTTTTGCAATCTGTCCAAGCTCGCTTAGGAATTTGCTAGTGCCTGTGCCCTTTCGCCACAAGCTTTGCCACACGTAGTCAAGCACCTGTGCCTGAAACCCTGTGCTGTCGTTTGTTTGGGCGCGCAACGATTGCGACCCTGTGCTGTCGCAGCTCATCGTAAACAGACGGCGAGACCATGGCGCCAAGACACCGCAAACAAGACCTTTTGTGAGGCAAAACTGCTGAGTGAGAAGCGGTCCTCACGGCGGAGTTACCCCCCCTGCATCGTCTACAGCGGGAAGCAGCAAGCATATGCAGAAACCCACGCGCCGGAGAGGCGCCGTCACCCAAAACATGCAGAAGCTGACAACGGGCAGGCTTGAGTTTGGTCTTGGGTTGAGAGCATTGCTGACATGGATTCGCCAAGTGTTTTTTATCGAGCAGGATGGAAGTGGAGGAGATTGAGGAAAGAGGGGGCTGGAGGGGAGCTTGAGGTTTGCGTGCACAGAACAGAGCTCAGAACAGAGTGCTGCCAATACCTGACGCGTTTTAGTTTGGATTTAGATATCAGTTCGATTCAGTGAGTGCATGGTGTCATTGTATCATCAACCTCAGGCATCTTGGTACCCCACATGCAGCGTCTATCATAACGTGTCATCACTGCCGAAGAAAAGGACAGAATACATATTTCCGGGGTTGCTGGATCCAAAAAGTTGAAAATACCTGGTGTCTGCATTGCCATCAAGCCTGACAAAAACAGCTCCTCTACTCATCAATTCTTGATAGGAAACACCAAAGCTTCGCCAATTCCGCGTAAGAATCACAAAGAATCTTGACAAGGAATACCACAGCCCATTTAATTCTTAATAGAAAATACTTTCTTTGATCCATGGAATGCTTAAGTCTTGCTTTATAGCATCCTGGGTCAGGTGCACTGAAATTATGTTGCCCTTTCGGACCCATGCTTCTGTCTGTTGACCTCATACTTCTGTCTGGTAGCCCCACATTGCAGCTGATTTTTTTGCAGCGTGCAGGCGAGTCTCTTGGCCTCTGTACGTGATCATTACAGTCATCGTGCTACTACCATGGTAGCACACACTTCAGCATCCTTTGCCATCTATAACTTAAATCCATCACTTCTGTCCTGGCATCCCGACTTGCATTTCACATTCCGTTTGTTTGCATCATGCTCACCATGATCATTGTCACTGCCGTCACAATTATCTTGTCCCCAGATAAGCATCGTCACCATCCTCAACATCATTATCGTCTTTGCCTATTCCTATGACCCTCCGTGGTGCGTAAACCGGGCAAAACAGAGGGCGTGTCGCCAGCCAAAACACAGTCCGCATCATGGTCAAAAGTATCATCGTTATTCCGTGGCCTATCGTCTCATGAGTTGCTCCTCCTCTTCCTCCTCCCCATCATGTTCCTCCCCTCCAGCCACACCCATCATCACAAATCGTTTGTGACTGTTTGTGTTGGCTGCCTTCTAGGCGTTAGATTTGCCTCATTCTTCTCGCGCAGTATCATCCTCGTCCTGCTCCTCCTGCTCGCCCTCCTCTTCTTCGTGAGCATCATCACCAGTCGTATCTACTGTCATTTGTCTTCAGTTATCATCAAGATCCTTGGTTCTGTTGTTCTTGCGGATTGTATCCGAAACCAGCTATCTTTCTTCATGGTTTCCCGCGCGTTTGTAATGCCACGGCAGGGCGGCCCCATGTTCTACGCGGAGAACTACGCAGGGTTCAAGAAGATCTTGGAGCGTGTGAAGTACTACAATCAGCAGGCTAAGGCGGGCAGTTCAGCATGTGCAGGGCTGTGGAAGCTGAGGAAGCCTTGCCGGTGAACCTACAACAGAAGTGGCCAAAATCCAGCCACAGTGAAGCCCAGGACCGCTTCACAAAGAACTCGAGTTACCTGCCGATCGACTACTTTGAGCCTTCCAAGCTCCTGGAAGCGTGCGCCGCCAAGGAGGGCACCAAGGCGGGATTCGCAATTCCTTTGACATGCAAGATTGCCTGCCATCCTGGCTGAATCCTGGCTATGCCTGCTACAATGCCCAGACCCTTGCTCACGAGCAGGTCTTCCCTGGCCAGACCC